TGTTTAAGATCTTGCAATCCAAACTTCAACAGTATATGCAACAGAAACTGCCAGATACTGTACACATGTATATTTATATATATACTGTATGTATGTATGTATGTATGTATATATGTATATGTATGTGTGTGTGTGTGTGTGTGTGTATTCTCGAGTTTTCACGGGTACTTATATGTATGGCATTCAGCTTTGTTCGGGTATTTTCCCACGTCATTGTAGTTGTGCTTTTAAAGTTGTAGCAACGTTTCGGCAGAATCTCATATGCCATCATCAGGCTTCTGTATTGTGTTCGTCTGTGAGTCAGACTTTTACAGTTGTTTCAGTTTTAAATTTGGGGCTAGCCTACTGCTGTGCCAGAATGGTTTTTTCTTCATCCTGATTGGTTGGGAGTCTTGGTCTGTGTTCATTGGTCTTGGAGTTTGCTGTGTTCTGCTTGATTGGTGTTTCTAATATCTTCTGTCTGTTTTGTGGCTCTTTTTGTGTCTTGATTGCCTGGCAACATTGTGTTCCTGTATTGGAGGCTTTTAGTGCAGCTTGGCTCCGAGTAAATTGATGTTTATCATTTGTTAGGAAGCTAGGTTTCATCTGGGTGCCTGGTTGGGGTGTGTTTGAGCTGGAGGTATCGGGGGGATCTGTTTGTGCCCAGGTGTTTGTCTGGCTAGTGGTGTGGAGATTTTTTTGTTTGTGAATGCAGGCTTCCAAATAATTGACAGTCTGGTGGAATCATCTCTTCTATTCATGCTTTCAGGTCTTTTTTCAATCTCTATGGCTTCTCTGATAATTCTGTGGCTGGGGTTTTCTATAGTGGCTAGGGTTTTGGTGCCATTGAAGTTGATGCACAGCACAGATAAACTCCGTGGCCAAAACACTAATTGCTAGAACCAAACGCCTGGCAGACAAGACACACATAAAGACTGAACTATGCACCCTGACTAAAGTACTGACAGCCAACGGCTTCCACAAAAGCAAAATCACCAGCTTGATCCACAAAAACACACTGAGACATAATGGAGACCTAGAAGATTAACAGACCTATGGAACAGCTGTCCTGCCCTACATAAGAGGTACTACAGACAAAATCAGTAAGATACTACACAGGCATCACATCAAGACTGCCTTCAAAACAGACAGAAAAATAGCAGCCATCCTTAGAAACCCCAACGATAAAATTGACCTGGAAAACCAAGGCATATACGAAGTCCCCTGTGCATCATGCCCGGCCACATACATTGGACAGACCAATAGAAAAATAAGTACCCGCCTGGATTAACACAAAAATGCAGTAAAAAAGCTGGAACACACTTCCTCACTAGTCCAACACATGAAAGCCACAGGCCATAGCATCAACTTTAATGGCACCAAAACCCTAGCCACTATAGAAAACCCCAGCCACAGAATTATCAGAGAACCCATAGAGATTGAAAAAAAGACCTGAAAGCATGAATAGAAGAGATGATTCCACCAGACTGTCAATTATTTGGAAGCCTGCACTCACAAACAAAAAAATCTCCATTTTGTTAAGTGAAATTTCTATTTGTTAAGTGAATTTTGGCCCATTTTACAACCTTCTTGCCACTGTTGTTAAGTGAGTCACTGCAGTTGATAAGTTGGTAACATGGTTGTAAGTGAATCTGGCTTCCCCATTAATTTTGCTTGGTAAAAGGTTGCAAAAGGTGATTACATGAGCTTAGGAAATAGCGAAGATCGTAAGTATGAAACAGTTGCTAAGCATCTGAATTTTGAATACATGATTATAAGGATGTTACAAAGGTTGTAAGTGTGAAAAATAGTCATGTCACTTTTTTCAGTGTCATGTAACTTTGAACGGTTGTTGGTCACTAAATGAATTGTAAGTTGAGGACTATCTCAACTTTTATAAATTATATAAATCTCCATAAAATAGAAACCACAATATAAATAGAACATCATACAAACTGTAATATAAAAAGAAATACATAATAATATAATTTGTTTTAAAGTCTTAAAACACTATCAATGCATTTTATTTGTTAATTATGCCAAATTTTGTAACATACATTAATATGCATCTCTCTTCAGCCTAATATATATTCAACATACTCCTCAAAGCACCTACTGTACATTATCAAGTCAAGGCTCACTTTAAAAGGCCAAGTCTGTATTGCACATAAAGCCACCTGGGTATTCAGATAGTACTCAAGTTACAATGGCAATCAGCACTAGAATTTCCATCACTAAGAAAGATGTAGGAGTAAAGGGTGACATCACATGACTGCATCATTTAGCAATAGCAATAGCACTTAGACTTATATACCACTCCACAGTGCTTTTATAGCCCTCTCTAAGCGGTTTTAGGGAGTCAGCATATTACCCCCAACAATCTGGGTCCTCATTTTACCCACCTTGGAAGGTGAGATTTGATCTGCCAAATTGCAGGCAGCTGGCAGTCAGGAGAAGTATCAATGGCAATCCCAGCAGGCCTAATTGCTGTCGTAACTTTCTTTGAAACAGTTTGGTCTCTCCTGTACTGATTAAGCCTTTATGGTATACTAACTTCAGTGCATCTTTTCCACCAGCCTTCAGATAGTCTTCCAGTGTTCAGTGTCAACTGTCTGGAAACATTTTATGCCCATCTATTTTCCTTGGCAAGTAGAGCCTATCAATAACACGCTATGGATGAAGAGCATGATTCATGTCTTCCTATCCAGGGCTTTTAGTTTTGCTTAAGTCCAATTCACTGTTTTAGCCGCCTAGTTAATGACTGGAATTGCCCAGGTTAATTGCCTTGGTAATATTGCCTCCATTGAATTTGGATATTCAGAACTTCATACTTGGGAAGTATTCACTTCTGAACTTCTTGATTTCAGTGCTCTTGATATCAGCTTGAAGAATGTTCAAGTATCTGTAGTCATTGTCTTCACCCAGAGTCTCAATGTTATTTCCTAGGGCATATTATTCCTCCAGTTTCCTCTATCTTTCCTCTGTTGATGGTGAAGATAGCATTTATCCAGTCCAAACTCTATTCCAATGTGATATTGTCATGAGAATAAATAGGCAAAATCATGTATCCTACCATGAATTCCAGGTGACATATAAGGTGACCTATAAATATAAGAAATTATGTGTGAACTTGGTCTGTGGTTAATATATACTTCAATGTTATATGAACCTAGAAAATCGTACTGAATAAACAAATCAAACTATAGTTAAGTATGGGTAAGCATATCATGTGACAGAGCCTTCAGCTAAAACCTTAGCTCTTAAGTACTAATCTTCTCTAAGCCTTTTGAGGCTGCAATTTCATACATATTTAGACTGAAAGCAAGACATTGGAAATTTAGAGAGGTCTACTGTACTTCCAAATAATCTTATAAAAAATGAGTAACTTTAGTCATGTAGAGCAAAATAGGGAGATCCTGGGTATATAAGATTATTTTTAATTTGGGAGAAAGGTAAAAAGTTTTAGCTGGATTCACATATCACAATATAGTACAATAAATAATGATTCATTTTGGCTTTGCAGATAGTACAATCCCAACCTTGTGCTGTAATTAAACAATTAATAGATAAAAATCCTTATCAAACTATTTCAAATAATTCAGAGAACTATATTTTCAGTTTCCCTCCAGTTAAGAATATTTCACCTGGCTTGTCCATCATGTTAAACTATAGTAAAAGGTTGGGTTGTGAGTGTTGTGAGAGCAGACCACCTTCAGTTAATCATGGATTAGGTAAAACATTGTGGAAATATATTTTAACTAGTCCTGGCTTATCTATTTTTTCACTTTGAACTGATACCAACTTCTATTGGTGATATAAGGATTTTTTTTTCATTCCATATATTGTTTACATTTTTGTAAAGAAGCTTTTGTAAAGCAACTGAATTGAATACCTTATTTGGCCAAGAGTGATTAGACACAAAAATGTTGAATGACAGCCAGTTTGTGGTACTGGTTAAAATACTGGCCTAGAAACCAGGAGACTGCTGAGTTCTAGGGTTGCCTTGGACATGAAAGCTGATTGGGTGTTTTTGGTCAGTCACCCTTTCCCAGCCCAAATCACCTCACAAGATTGCTGTTGTGGGGAAAATAGGAGGAGGAAGTAATATTAGATATGTTCCCTGCCTTGATTTACTTCTTAAAGTAATAGAGGCACAATTTAAAAAAATTAAAGACTTTCTTGTATTTTGTATAGCCTCAATCCTTCCAAATTATTTTTTCCTGCAAAAAAAAATCTCATACTATTAAAGAATTACATCAAATTTTCTTCCTACAGTAGTTTGTAATTCAGAGATATTTTCCATTTTTAAATTTTGGAGATACAGTACATTTAAAAGCAACTTCTAGCTATCCCCCTCCACCCCCTTTTTTAATGGAGATGGTAGCTGTGAAAGACAATCTGTATTCAGAAGAATCACATTCTCAATGAAGAATTACCGATTCCTTTACAGATAGTCCTCAACTTATAACAGTTCTCTTAATGACCATTCAAAGTTATGGCACTGAAAAAAGAGACATGACCATTTTGGCCATATGGCACTGAAAAAAGAGACGTGACCATTTTTCACACTTATGACCACTGCAGCATTTCTCACGGTCAAGTGATTTACATTAGGATGTTTGACAATTGACTCAAATTTATGATGCTTGCAGTAATACCTGATTCCCTTTTGCAACCTTCTGACAAGCAAAGTCAATGGGGAAACCAAATTCACTTAGCAATGGTGTTAGTAGTTTAACAACTGTTGTGGTTAACAAACGTGACAAGAAAAGTCATAAAATGGACAATTAACAAATGTCTTCACTTAGCAACATAAATTTTGGGCTCATTTTAGGTCGTAAGTTGAGGACTATCCGTTACAAAAAAAAAACAAACCCGCGCGGCAGCATTCTAGTTAAAGCGTCGGCGAAGAGAGACTCAAGTGTCTCAGTTGAGCTTAACAAAACCCGTAAACACTACAACTCCCAGAGTGCCATTGAATACCTCACTTCCTTCGGAGGCGGGGGTTGTCATTTACCCTCAGCAACACAGGATTCGCAGAAGAGCGAGGAGAGCAACAAAATGGCGCTGACCAGGTGGGTAGGGGAGGGAAGAAGCGGGACTTCATTACGACACAGGGACAGGTTGTTGACTTGTTCCCGGATTTCGTGTTTGTTTGTTTGTTTAAGAATATGCTGTAAGCCGAGATATATGCACATCGTGGTCTGCGGCAAAGTGGATGGATTACGGGAAGATTGCGTTAGGGAGGTCTGGGGTTGATCCGGGCACTTTTCTTTAGCGCTTATTTCACAGGCCGTTTCGGCCGGTCTGTTTTCCCCGCCCCCACTTTAGTGCCCTTAATAAGAATAATGAAATCCTTTCAGAAATGAAAGCCTCGGTTCACAAATAAATAAAGGTTTGGCCGACTATCCAGAAGAAGGTGGTGCAGGGTGGTCATCCCTTTTTTGCCCCCCTCCCCACCCAGTTAGTATCCGTAGGATGTGATTGATGGATCACTTCAAAGTTCAGATCTAAAATTGTTTTCACCTGGTAAGGATAGTATATAGGAGATTGCTCATCATTATGGCTTCCCTATATGCAAATCGCTAGTTCCAGGTGGGATTGCAAGCCGCTGCTGGGTATAAGCAGAATGGGCCATTTTTTTTTACATCAGCTATGCCCCAAACAATTTTTCATTTATTAACTTTATATCTTCAGTTTTAATTTAATTTAGTTGTATCTAAAGCACCCCTGTAAAGATAAAGATACAGATAATCAGAGTTGGAAGGGACCTTGTAGGTCATCTAGCCCAAGCGGGAGACCCTACACCATTTCTGACAAATGGCAGTCCAATCTCTTCTTGAAAGTCTCAACTGATGACGCTTCCACAACTTCCGAGGGCAAGCTCAGTTTGTAAAGCTCTGAAGTAATTACTATTTGGAATAACTGAAATAGAACTTGCAGCTTCAGAGTTCCTAAAACACTCTAAAAACAAAACTGTTCAGAACTGAAGATGACTAAAGACAAAATGAATCTTTCCTCCATGGAAGCAGTTGCCAAAATATTTGAACAATATTAAGCACTGTGGATATTTCATAGTGAAAGACAGAATTGTTTTTTAAACATATTTTTGTTAGAATAAAAGTCAAATGTTACAGTGAAAGAGAGCAATATTACATTCTTCCTCTGTTTGCTTAGTTTTTTGCCAGCACCAACCCAGTTGTCTCAGGACCAACTGGAATTGGAGGAGAGAGCAAGATCTCAAAGAGTGAGACAGACTGCGTTGGTGTCATCACGAAGGGAACCTCCTCCTTATGGTTATCGGAAAGGATGGATACCACGAATGTTGGAGGTAAATAATAGTTTGCATTCATTTAGCTACCAAGAATGGTTTTTCTCTTGAAAGATAAGTCTGGACTTCTGAATGCAATATGTAGATTTTATTTAAAATGCTTTTTTCTCCTAAAATCAGCTTATATGTTCCAAGTTCTGAATCCTTGAATTTGCTGTCTAGGTGCTTTTTGCTCAATTTTAATTGCTTTTTCCAATCTAAAATGTTTCATAATGTTTTTATGCTTTTTATTGTGAACCATAAAAGCATAATAATAACACAGTTAGAGGTACCAAATTAATTAATGCCCATTTTTGCTCAGTCCATTAATCATTTAAGATTGAACAATCTTTCTCAAGGACATCAGGGTGGAAGAAAGCTGTTCCAGAGGGAGGAGGACAAGGTGGAAAGGCATAGCCTCTGCATCCTAATCTCTCAAGGGATTTTAAGTACTTCTGTACAAAAAAGTCAATTTTTGCAAGCAAGCAAGCAAGCTTCTAAAGCTACCTAAGGATATATGTTTGATCACCTGAGAAATAAAGTACAAGTAGTATTTCACTTACAATCATAATTGTGCTACAATTGTTGAACGAAGTGATCATTAAATGAGATGCCTCATGACCATTTTGCTTAGTGACCGCAACCCAGTTCTTCCTGTTGCAGTCATTAAGTGGATCACTGGAAAGTGGACCCAGGCCTTCCAGACACGGTGGGGCAGAGAGAGGGCCCAGGCCTTTAACCACACCCAGGAGGCCTGGGCCCTCTTCTTACCCTAATGGGGAAACAACCACAAGAACGCTGCTGTTTGCTAGCATTTTCACCACATTTAAGATCCTTCGGTGCCCAAAGTTCTTTCCTCCCCTCCCCCCATGCAAGAAGGGAGGAATGGACCTCAAATTTGACGAAAATCACTAGAAAGCACCAGGATTCTGAGCCTTTCAGAAACCTGGTGTTCACTAGCATTTTTCCTTCTCCAGATAGAAAATAATAGCAAACATCACTACTTCTAAGGTAGTGTTTTTCCTCTTTGGAGCCTTTCGGAGGGGAGAGGGGGAATGCTAGTAAATATAGGCTATAATACTTGCAATGTATGATATCTGTATTTGTGGCTAAGCTCATTGTTTCAAAAGTATATACATGATTAATAAATGTGTTCAGGATTACAGCATAGGATGTAACTGGCTATATAACCACTACACAATTTCAATCTAAACACATGGATTTTGGAGGGAAACGTTTTCTACATATCAATGGGAAATCAGTTTTGAAACAAAATAACTTTCAGACACATGTTGGATGAGAATAATACACAAAAAGCTGAAACAGTCTTGACTGTTCCAAAACATGGGATTTTAATTTCTATTTTTTAAATAAACCTTCAATTCTTTTTTTAAAATAAATTTTATTAATGAACAACAAACAGAAAAACATTAAAACAATGAATGTGGTGCATACATAACAAAAAATACAAATTTACATATGTACATAAATATTAATCATCTTTGTTATAATTACTCCTTTCTTTTTTTAAACCAGTGGTAAAACTTCTCCCAAATTTTGTAATAATCAGATTCAGTCTTATCTTTTAATTCTTGAGTTATTCTATCCATTTCAGCGCACAACCAATTTTTTTAAATTATTTCCATCTCTTCTGGCATATCGTTTCCTTTCCATCTTTGGGCAAGAGCTAGTCTTGCGGCAGTGGTGACATGAACTATTAGGTATATTATCTCCTTATTATATTTCCCCACAGTGATTCCCAATAGAAAAATTTCAGGTCTAAAATCTATTTTAATTTTACACATCTCTTCTAACCAGTTTCCAATTTTCAGCCAATATATTTGGACTTTTTCACATTTCCACCATACATGGTAGTATATTCCAATTTCTTTGTTGCATTTCCAGCATTTAGGGGATAATTTCGGGTACATTTTTGCTAATTTTGATGGTGGGATATGCCATCAGTAAAACATTTTATGTAAATTTTCTTTATATGATGCCGCCAAAGTAATTTTCCCATTCCTGTCCCATAAAATTTGCCAATCTTCCAAATTTATACCATATCCAAAATCTCATCCAGGCCAGCATTGTTTCTTTCACCTTTTCCTCTTCCAATTTACATTCCAACAATACTTTGTAAATTTTTTAAATCAGTTTCTCATCCGTCCCTAATAATATTTTATCTAATTCTGTTTTCCGTCTACTAATACCCTATTCTTTCATATCTTTACTATACCTTAACTGTAATTGTAAATAGGCCCACCATTCTATCTCAAGTCCCAAATCCTTCAACTCCTGTCTTGTTTTTAACTCACCCTTCTCATCTAATATGTCCTCATATGTAATGACCTGTCTTCGTCCAATAAATGTAGGTACATTAATGCTTCTAATGTAGATAGCCAAGTTGGTATTTCAACATAGAATTGACATTTAGTTTTATTCCATGCATTTAGTAAGGTCTGCCTAATTTTATGCCTTTGAATATAGCCATGAATTTGGTGTTTGTCCTGCCACAAAAAGGCATGCCACCCTACCTGTAGATTATATCCTTCTAATGTTAATATTCTTTTGTTTTTAACACTTATCCAATCTTTAACCCAGGTCAGAATGGCCACTGTAATATATTTCCCAGTTCAGTAAGCCGAATCTCCTCTTTCAGTAGCGTCCTGCAACAATTTCAGTCTAATTCTGGGCTTTTTTCCTGACATAAATTTTGATACTAGCTTATCCAATTGATCAAAAAAGTTTTTCTGTAATTTTACCAGAGCGTTTTGGAATAAAAACAATAATTTTGGTAATATGTTCATTTTTATAGATACAATTCTCCCCATAAGGAAAAGTCTTAGGTTGCTCCATATTCTAAGATCTTCAGCTATTTTTTTGATTAGACATAAGACATAAGACATAAGAATTTATTTGTCATTACACTCGCTAGCGGGTGCAACGAAATGAGGTGCTCTTCCACAAAGTAAAACTGGACAAACACCACTAAAAGAAAAAAATTGAACTAAACACAACCAACCATACAATAATCTCTATGCAATTTAAAAATGTAAATACCCCATTACTCTCAGCCATTTAAATTCCACAAAAATCTTATGACCCTGCATTCAAACTCAAAACTGCATTTGGATAAAAACTGTTCTTAAATCTGGTCGTCCTTGTTCTTAATACCCTAAATCTCCTTCTCGATGGTAAAAGTTCAAAGAGCTGATGTCCCGGATGAGAGGAGTCATTCAATATATTAAGTATCTTCCTCTTACATCTATTCCTATACAGTTCTTCCAAAGAGGGGAGTGAGCAGCCAATGATGTTTTGGGCCGTCTTGATCACCCTCTGAATTGCCTTTTTCTCTGCCACTGTGCAGCTCGAGAACCATACACAGAGACAGTAGGATAATATACTCTCAATTGAACTCCGATAGAAGGTAGTCAGTAGACTCTCAGCCAGTTGTTGTTTCCTAAGAATCCTTAGTAAATACAACCGTTGTTGTGCCTTCTTAATTAAAGCAGCGGTGTTTGCGCTCCAAGTCAGGTCATTTGTAATGATGGTCCCGAGAAACTTACATTCAACCACCTGTTCCACACGAACTTCCTCTATATACAGTGGCTGAATGTCTGCTCTTTTTTTCCTATAGTCCACTATAACCTCCTTGGTCTTCTTAATATTAAATAGAAGATTATTATTCTTGCACCAGCGGGATAGCTGTAGTACCTCATCCCGATATGCAGACTCATCATCCCCAGAAATAAGTCCTACAAGCGTAGTATCGTCTGCAAATTTCATTATCCTATTGTTGGGATGTTTATTTGTGCAATCAGATGAATAGATGGAGAACAGTAGTGGACTAAGGACACAACCTTGTGGAGTGCCAATGCTAAGTGTCTTGACAGTAGAAATATAATCATTCAGTTTAACTCTTTGTGGACAATTTGTTAAAAAATCCAATATCCATAAACAAATAGAATCTGGAAGATCTAGATCTTTGAGCTTGGCTATTAATCTGTGCGGTATGATGGTATTGAAGGCAGAACTAAAATCTGCGAACAACATTCTTACATAATTCCCCGGTGTTTCCAAATGGGATAAGGCCATGTGAAGCACAGTAATAATTGCATCCTCGGTTGATCTATTTTCTTTGTAAGCAAACTGAAGCCCATCAAAGGAATCGGGAAGGCAGGAGATAATATAATTTCGAACTACCTGCTCAAAGCACTTCATTAAGATAGAAGTTAGTGCCACCAGCCTATAGTCGCTCAGACCATTTGTGGGCATCTTTTTAGGCAGTGGAACGATGGTGGAAACCTTGAGACAAACAGGAACCACGCATTGTATCAAGGATCGATTAAAAATTTCAGTCCATACCCCAGCTAACTGATCAGTGGGGTATGATTGTCCTCTTTGAGGGTTATACATTTTGTTGAAATTACAATTCCCAAATATTTAATTTTATTTGTCGTCTGGATGTCCATTATCATTGTTAAATTTTCTTTTTGTACATTTGTCATATTTTTGGTAAGTATTTTGGTTTTTTCCTTGTTAATTTTTAGCCCCGCTACTTCGCCAAATTACTCTTAATTGCTCTATCAATTTTGGTCCCGAATTTTGCGGATCTTCTAAAATAAAAACCAATTTGTCAGCGAAGGCTTGTAATTTATATTCTTCTTTATTTATTTTTAGTCCTTTTATTTCCAGTTCTTTCCTAATTATTCTTGTTACTGCCTCCAAAGTGAAAATAAAAATGGTGATAATGGACATCCCTGCCTCGTTCCTTTATGTATCTCAAATTTATTTGTTGTATGGTCATTTATCAATATCCTAGCTTGTTGTTTATTATATATTGCTGATACTACATTTAGGAATTTTTGCCCAAAATCAATATACTTAATTTGTTGCAGAACGAAACTCCATTTTACATTGTCCAAGGCCTTTTTAGCATCCAGGAATAATAATGCTACCTGTTCTCCGCTACATTCTTCATGATACTTTATGATGTCTAAAATTGTCCTAATATTATTGCTAAGATGTTTATGTGGAAGGAAGCCATTTTGGCCTGTGTGTATAAATTTATTTAGTATTTTCTTGAATCTTTCAGCTATTATAGTTACGAAAATTTTTTAGTCCACATTTAATAGAGATATTGGCCTATAATTTCCTATCTTTGTTTGATCATTTTTTTCTTTTGGAATAATTGTAATCGTTGCTTCTTTCCACGATTCTGGAATCTTTGCCTTATCCAGGACTTCATTAAATAATTTAAGCAATCTGTTGCCTAATATTTCTTGTTGAGTTTTGTATAATTCAGCAGGGAGTGCATCCGGGCCAGCCGCCTTAATTACACTATTTTCTGCTCTTGTCCACAATCTGATCACATTCATTTTTATTTCTGTGTAGGATTTTGGAGATGGAGGTGCTTTTCCAGAAATCCATGTTGCCCAATATCCTCTGGATATGGGCAGAAAAAAGAAAATATCAAATGCATTAGCTGTACAGGTGGATGCCGAAGGAAAAATAAAATACGATGCTATAGCTCGGCAGGGACAATCAAAAGACAAGGTAATAGGACTCTCAAATGTTATGTTTAAAGTATAATTGCTTCAGTTTATTAAAATATTTTTGTATGAAGGGAGAAGGTGCTCAGAAGAAAAAATGGAAACTTTTTTTAGGCGTTGAAAGATTTGGAAAGGAATTCAGATCTTCCTCTTTTTTTTCTCTGAAGATGTTTTTATTTTTTTCCCTAGAAATGAAATCATGAAAAAATGAATAATGAAATACGCCCATATATTTTATTTTTAAACAATACAGGAAACTATTGTGAAACAACTATTGTGAAACAAATCAATATATGTTTGGATGTATACCAATTCAAAAAAGCAACTATATTAATTTTTTAGAAGTTCTACATTTCTTCTCACATATCTGGCACTGCAGTATATTTAGGAAAATTGAATTATAATATTTTTCTGAATTGTTACACACTTTAAAAATATATATACTTAAAGCTCTTGGGTTTTCTGAGTATTAGCTACACATACCTAGAATAAAATTTATTTCTGAAAGCAAGTAGAAATATATTTGTCCATATACAGAATGGTCAAGGTTCATATTTCTCTTTCTATACCTAATTACTACATCTACCTATTACCTACATTGTTTTATTGGTTTGACTATTTTTGTGCTATCTAGAACTACAGATAGAAGAGACTTCTAGCCATGATTTTTAGAGTCTGTGTTGTCTGCTGTATTGATTGTTATTAATAAATGTTGATTACCTCAACAATGAATTTTGTTATTTGTTTTATATGGTTTTTATATTGTTGTTGAATTATATTTTTGTGTTTTCGTGCATTTTTAATTGTGGATCATTTAGAATCATATATTAATATGGGTGATTTTAAATTTGAAATATAAATAATCACTCATGTATAGAAATTAATTTAGAAATATGTTCCCTGTCAACATTTTACCTGTCTGTATCATACCATCATATATTAATATAGCATTTCAATGTAGATTTTAAAGCAAAAGAAATGCAGTATCAATGGCTAATTCAGCAATATCTTGGGCTAGCTTATTAGTTTCTTCCATAAAGAAAAAGTATCTTTCGTGTTTAGAAAACTACATCATATTTGCAGTTAATTTAGTGTTGCTTGGGATGACTTTTTTATCCACAGTTAAATGGATATTGCAAGGCCTTTAATATTTATGAGTTTAGTAGGGTTTGATCATGAACATAAAGCAGAATGGGAAGCTTTGATAAATCAGGGTGACCTATAATAGTATACAATTGCATTTGTGATATGTGAAATAGATTTTATTACCTAGAAGTAGAGTGTGATTATCTTCTATTTAATTTTCTACACATAAATACTGCTATTCTTTGTCATTCAATGATGCAAACTGTTTTTCCAGTATTAAGAAAGCAAGAACACACCACAAGCTCATTGTCCATGCATGTGGACTGTGAACATGTGTTTTTCCTGCATAGATTGGGGCTCTGAAGCTGGAAGAAAGAGGTAGTCACTATACAGGTATAAGTAGTCCTCAAACCACAATTGGGACTGGAATTTTAGTTGCTAAGAGAAGCAATTATAAAGTAAGATGTCATATGTCCACATCACTTAGCACTTGGCACTCCCAGCTGCTATTGTTAAGCAAGAATCACAGGCTGTTAAGTGGAGGAAGCCCTACATAAAGAACATGGGAATGCATCCAGGTTGATGGAGGCCCTAGGAGACCAAGCGCCGGCTGCACATGAGTTGGGTGTGTTGTAACACAGCACAAGTGCAGAGAGATTGGGAAGGAAGCAGCGACTCCTGGAAACCTCAGCTGCCGCAGCCTGGCCCAGCAATGAAATAAAAATAGATCACATTCTGGGAAGCGTCCAATACTAGGGAAGTCTCCACAGTGCAGGGGGTGGGGAGGTGGACAGCCAACCTTCAGGAAGTAGGTTGTGAAGCAGCAACTCTCCCAGGAAGCATCAAATGCCTGGAAAGTCTCCACACTAAATGGGAAAGGTGCCATGTCAGGGAATTCCTGTCCCAATTGTCATAAGTCAAGGACTACCTGTGAACTAAAGTACAGTACAAGGTTCTTTTTTTTTTTTTTTTTGAAGTTTTATTTGGGTTTTCACAAAAAAAAACCATAATACAAATAAAACATCTTTTTTTGAAAATAGCATGGTCCCGGGTTACACTTCTTCATACAGGCACAAACTCAATTTCATGCTCATTTTTGTGTTCTATTCCATATCTTATTACTGTTTTACATTTTCTACATAGTTTTTCCCCTCTTTTAATTTTCTCAATTTTATTTTGATTATCTCATCTCAATTCAAATCATTATATTTATACTTTTGTCTGTCCTGTTTCAATTTCATATTATCTTTTCTCATTAAACAAATTTTCTCCTGTAGTTACTAACTGGAGTATGACACCTTTATATCTTTTAATTTTATCCATTCAACTCTTATTTAAGCTTCAATGTATACCTTAAGGTTATAACATTCAATATAATACATAACTTCTAATCGAATTCTGTTTGGTATATTCTTAAAATACACACTATATTCTTAAAAAAAGATTATAAATATATGTATACAGTACAAGGTTCTAAAGTACAGTACAAGGTTATACAGTACAAGGTTATACAGTATTATCACAGCACATGGAATTTATTTAGGTGTTTCAAAGCATTTTTCACAGATAGGCCACTGGCTAATTCTAAACTGATTATTTACTTCCAGTTTATCACACTAAAGTCCATTTATTGACCTTATCTTAAAGAGTTGGTCTTATTTTAGTTATTCTACTGTATTTAGAACTTCCTTTTTCTAATGTTGGAAGAACATCTTTGCATTTTATTTCCTAGGATTAATTCATTATTTTGGTTTTGGAAGTAGATTTAGTTCTTTATGCATTGAGGTTCTTGTGAGTTTTATGGGCAATTACATTAAAAAACTGCTCTTTCATTTGGCTTTCTGAAATGTGATTCTATGGGTGCTTATTTTAGGAATTGTTAATTTTGGAAATTCTTGGATGAGAATTGGTAAATGTCTCCTATCCTAAATTATTATTAGGACTACAAGTCTCTTACTGCAGACAAATGAAGATTTAGAACACTCTAATGAGCAATATATACATATTTGAAAAAATGATTGTAGTTGTGATCGATCCAATAGAAGATAATATATATATAGCTCAGGGTCCTTGGTGCTCTTTAAGCTTGGTGGTTGCTTGTAGACATTTCATTACCCAACTAAGAAAGCATCAGTGTAAGTGATATAAAGGTAACATGAGTGCAATTTGTGATACATAAAACAATCTAATGCCATCGCATGGGCAAAATATATTTTATTTTTAAAAATATTACATAAACAAATAAAAACATGATGATATAAAAAGTTTATATTGATGATAAAACTTGTTTAAACAGAAAAAAATGTAGAAAGGCTTGAACAACTCAGAGGTCCAGATTGAAACTTTTAAAATAATTGTGAGAAATAACTGGTGCACAGATCAGGCAGCATTGTGGCATTAGTGGAACTAGCAATATAAGTGAGGCTTGGAGGCGTTGTGTTATAATGAAAGTGGCTACAAAAACATATGTGGTAGTGGCACTCCTTCCCATGGGCAGTGGATTGGTTGTTTTTCAAAAAACTTCAGTGGGCTCCACAAGACTGCATAAGATACAGCCTGTAGGCTACATGTGCATAATTGATCTCCAGACCATATAAAAACATACTGCTCCAATCCAAGAATATGCCACCTTATCACAATCATAAAAGCTTGGAAAGTGGTTTAGATCAGGGGTCGCCAACCTTTTGGATCTCAGGGACCACCAAACTCATAATTTTAGATCCCAGGGACCACTAACCAGTTCTGTAGACGTGGCCTAATTTGTGGGTGTGGCTTGGTCATGTGACTGACTGGGCATGGCTTGTATCTAAATATTATAAATATTTATATAAATATTGAATTTTTTATTAAAAAAGAGCAACTTTTACCCAAAAGTAGGCAAAGCAGGCAGGCAGATTGAGTTGCTCACAGAATCACAGATTCATTCAGAGATCTATTATCTGCCATCAGCTAGCTCAGTCTGTCACATAAAATTTGCTTGCAAGCAAACTCACAAAATTAACTCACAACACACCATGCATGTAAATATTGGATTTTTTATAAAAAAGAGCAACTTTTACCCCAAATCAGGCAAAGCAGGCAGATTGAGTTGCTCACAGAATCATTCAGTGATCTATCTGCCATCGGCTAGCTCAGTCTCTCAAATTTGCTTGCCATGAGTCTGCACTGAATTTGCTTGCAAGCAAACCGTTAGTCCTAAGGGAGGTTCAGCTGTGCTTAAAAGCAGAGCCGAAGATCTAAAGACTAGCTAGAAAGCAAGAAATCCAACCATTTCCTGCTTCCTAGCTAATCTAAATCTCCAGGCACAGCAGAACAGATGATGGTCAGAAAAAGGAAAAATAGCAATTTAGCAGGCAAGTTTACTGGGTAAGGAGTGAATGAGTGGGGAGGGTTCACGTGGGCTGCACAGCCTTGTGTTTCTGTGCAGCCTGGATTAATTGCTTTGGGGGGGGGTTGCTCTGGGGGTGAGATTTCTCTGCAGCCCACCAAAATTTTCTCACGGCCCACCGGTTGGCGACCGCTGGTTTACATTACCTTTTTCTCGTTGAATTGTGTCCTTAGAGACTGCTGGAACAAGTCCCTGCTCTTTTCTTTTGCCAAATTACTGTATTTCTGCATCATAAAATGTAGATAAACAAGATAACCATAATTCTAAATGGAAAAGATGTTTGATTACCAAAAACCAGAATTCAGGAAACTGTTGTGTGTATTTCTCCTATCTAAAGCTAAGAGTACTATATAATAGTTTTTAATCTTATTCTGATAGTGTTAGATATTATGGAGCTTGTTCAATACTAGAAAAATAGTCCAGTTTTCTAAAAAGCTGCAGAGCCTTTTTTTTTTTTAAATCTGCAGTGTTCTTTAGTGATCTTTTTCATGTTTCAGGTCATTTACAGCAAATACACAGACCTTGTTCCCAAAGAAGTTATGAATGTGGATGACCCTGAACTTCAAAGACCAGACGAGGAAGCTGTCAAAGAGGTATAGCTAGTGGTGATGCATGTAACTGATGGTAAAAAAGGTAAAGATTGTCCAGTCCCTGTCCAGTCAGGTCCAACTCTAAGGGGCAGTGCTCATCTATGTTTCTTAGCTGAGGGGAAGCATGCACATTTTGTTCAAGTGTTTAATATATCATATATATTTGCAGCTTACAGAAAAGACACGAGTTGCACTGGAAAAGTCTGTCTCTCAAAAAATCGCAGCAGCAATGCCAGTCCGAGCAGCTGATAAACTAGCTCCAGCTCAGTATATTCGGTATTGTATTATTGTATTATTTACTTTTTGTATATATCTACAATATATATTCTCATGTGAAGACAGGAGCAATTACAGGATTAAAAAATTGCTATCTAATGAACTATACATCATAATTAAGAGTATTTGGCTATAGAATTGTGTTGTTGTTCTTTGTGTTCATTTCTGGTAATGAATTTTTTTCTTGAAATATATAACGGTCTTGTATTCCATAAAAGGTAAATAAGCACAATAATGTCTATGAAGAAGACAGTAAACTGGAAATGTTAATTCTGTATATAGTCAATAAAATTGGATAGAATGTGGAATATCAAGCTTTGTTCTCTGTGTGACATAGTTTACATGTGGTAAGATTGGCAGCCAATAAATTTGATAGATAAATGTACATGTGTACAGTTTAAAAGTACAGCAATGCTGAATTAAATTTATTTGCCACACATCTCGTAACAAAACGGGTAAACGTAATGAAAGTTTGTACTAACAAGACCTTTTTATCACTTTGTCAGATACACACCATCACAGCAGGGAGTGGCATTCAATTCTGGTGCAAAACAGAGAGTTATCAGAATGGTGGAGATGCAAAAGGATCCCATGGAGCCTCCAAGATTCAAGTGGGTTTCAGAAATACTTCTTATTCAGAAATAAGAGTTTTTAATAAGTTCTAATGATGCTATGATTTTCACATATTAGGATTAATAAGAAAATTCCTCGTGGGCCACCATCTCCCCCTGCTCCAGTAATGCATTCTCCCAGTAGAAAGGTAATGCTTTGACAGCTAGTTTCTTCCTCCAAGTTGTCTTTGTTTTCATGTTTATATTACTGTTTTTGTTGTTAATTTCACACACATTGGATAGGATAGTTATAATTGTAGCACACATCCACACTTCCCTTATGCAATCTACACTTTCTGTCCCACTCTAACTTAACCTCCTACTGCTTGGGTGAAGAGACAACTTTTAAACTGGGTCTCCCCTGAAGGTTAAAAGAGAGGAGACCTCCTGGATTTTGGAGAGAGGATGTTCCATAGGACTGGGCCTGCAGTATAAAAGACATGCTTCCAAAGGTCCATCAGAAGGCAAGGCTTAAGAGGATAACATGGCTTCCCTGTCCACTCTGGTGGGAAGGGAGATGATTATCATGGGATCTCATGCATGATTATTCTTGCCATATATACAGTATATAAAATAATACTATAGAGTTGGACAATCGGCAGAAAAAGTAAATAGTTCTGTAAATACTTCAGCATGGTGAGCGCTTGCTTACATTCCTATCAACTGCTCAGATGGCGCAGTAAGCACTTTGCAGAAAGATAGCATGTTCTTTGAGCTGATACTTGCTGAAGTTGCTTTCAAAACGATCAATATTAGGAAAAACTATCAGGAGTGAGGATGCATGGAAATTCTCAAGTTTGCAACTCAAAGTTGACCTAAATGGATTCCTCCTTAGACCTTGTGCTTCTAAGAAAGAATGTGTTTGGTTTTAAAAATTCCACCTTTGTACTTCAGATTATTGAAAAGTTATTTTATTCACTTGCCAAAAGATCTTCAAAACCAGTTTGTTGTAAATAGACAGTTGTTATTTATTATTTTGCTATAGTATTTAGAAATTTCCTTTCCATTGAGAAGAAAAAAAACTTTTCTTTTTTCTGTGTAGATGACTGTAAAGGAGCAGCAAGAATGGAAAATTCCACCTTGTATTTCAAACTGGAAAAACGCAAAGGTAATTAATTTGTTACAATGACATAGTCTAAAGATAGCATCCTAAGAATCTTACTTGAAAATGAACAATTTGTATTACTTTGAAATAACTAGAACTGAGTAAACAAGCTACTTTTTTAAAAAAAATTGCTTGTTTTTCCCCATTAGTCTCATGTAAGAATAACAACTTGAGTAGGGCAGGGCAACAATGTCAATTGCTAATCACTGAAAGTAGTTCCACAAATGGAGGCTTGTTTAGTGTAATTATAGCACAATAGCGAAAGTATTTTAAATGTCTCCATAATAACAGTTCAAAATAAATATTTATTAAGCAGCATGTAGACTAATTTTCCTGCCACATTCCACTGAAATTAAAATTATGAACCTACTTTTGTAGTACAGATACTTTTTATGGTAATTAAATGTCTTTTCTCTTTTTATTGCAGGGTTACACTATCCCGTTAGACAAACGCCTGGCTGCAGATGGTAGAGGATTGCAGACTGTACACATTAATGAAAACTTTGCTAAATTGGCAGAAGCTCTTTACATTGCTGATAGAAAGGTCTGTTGTTTTTTTAGGCTACCCATCTCCACAATAAGATAGCTGCCCAATATTCTGTGTAGCCAAATTCTGGGATGTATCTGCATTTTTATACTATAATCCAAAGTGTAATGTAACATTGCTATCATAATTGCTTATATTCTAATTTTGTATAGGCTCGTGAGGCTGTAGAAATGCGGGCCCAGGTAGAACGCAAGATGGCACAGAAGGAAAAAGAGAAACATGAGGAGAAACTTCGGGAAATGGCCCAGAAGGCCAGGGAACGAAGAGCTGGAATCAAAACTCATATGGAAAAGGGTACCACTTTTCAAGTGCTTCATTTTGTAATATTGCAAATATTTTTTCTTAAACCAGTTGTTGAACAGTTAATCTTGTTGGAAAGATTGAAATGTATCAGCAGGAATGGTCTGTTTTATCCTATCAGTCTACCTCTTCATGTATACTGCTTTTTTGTGTACACGATTGCCACGTGGTTGCATATATGTTCATGTAAAAATGAATTAGAGAACCTGTAGTTCTAGAGCCAGATGCAACCAATCCATTCTATTTTGCCCCTTCGCATTCCCTCTCTACTCACAGTTGTTAAATTTCCTTCCCTTTTGAAGTGGGAAATAAAGGAAGGCTATATAAGCCCTAAAATCAAGTATGTTTTAATTCCCAAAATAATTCTAGGTCCCATACGCTTTGTAGACATCAGTTTCCCAAAAAATATTGTTTGTCCCAAAAATGTTGCCCATCCATGAAATAGTTACATTCCATAATTTAGTAATGTTCTCAAATATTAATCTTCAGTGATTTTTATTGAATAAATAACTTAATGAATGTCAATCACATTAAACATTATTGGGGAAGAAATATTTGACCACTTTTCAATTAACTTTATCATACCTTGTATCTCAAATTTATCTATAGAGGATGGTGAAGTTAGGGAGCGTGATGAAATCAGACATGACAGGCGAAAAGAAAGGCAGCATGACCGGAATCTTTCCAGAGCAGCCCCTGACAAAAGGTAAAATTGTTCAACTAATATAGTTGACACCTTTCCTTGTACAACAAGAAAAAAATAATATGAAGATTAAAAACAACAATTGTCTCATAACTGTTCTCTCAGATTGTACTTCTTTGCCAGAATGATCCTTTATGTAGTGCAATATTTTGTCATGAAACTTCTATATATGATAATTGCAGCATGACTGCTAAAAGATCAAATATATTCGAGATCGTAGCTAGTACGTTGTACGGCAAGAATAATTGAATTGGTTTTTTCCCCCTATGTATTTCTTGACTCTTTTCTCCAGATAGATTTGGAATCCGGGAAAGATAGAAAAGAAGAGCAAAATGAAATCCCATAACTCTAGTCTAATCACTTTGCAATATAGCCCTCTGCCCATTCAGAAGGAAGATAAGTGAGGCTAACTGTTAATGATTGTTAATAAGTGGCTAAGTGTAAATAATTGATATTATGTAACCTAGAAATGCAATATTGTTAAATTCAGGTCGAAACTACAGAGAAATGAGAACAGAGATATTAGTGAAGTCATTGCATTGGGCGTTCCTAATCCTCGAACATCCAATGAAATTCAATATGACCAGAGACTATTCAACCAAAATAAGGTAAGGAATTCCACAAGTACATAAAAGGGCCACTGGTATGCTGAGTATCTTACATTTAATTCTTAAGGTAATTTGCTGTTGAGCCTGTGTTTAAATTCTGGTTAGCATTATACTTTCACAGGTAGTTTTCAATTTATGATCAAAATTGGAATGCAAAAGATTTGTATGAAAGCACACTATGCCTTAGGATTTCCCCATTCTAGTATATGGTTGAAAGGGATTACAGGTAGTGCCTGTATTAACTAAATGGAACTGGCAACTCCACCGCTAAGTGAAGTGGCCACTAAAAAGGAAATCATGTGACTGCTTGGAAAGAGACAAGATTAGTCAAGTTTTGTTTGCCTAACCTATCAGTCTTCAGAAACCAAAAAAGAAGTGATTCTTTAAGAGAGATTTCTTTATTGTTCCTCACCTAAGGACAGAATCTTGTCAAAGTATAGTATGCTACTTCTCCCTCCCCTTCAATAACATATACTCTGGAACTACTAGGGAGGAGCCCATCTTCACTCTTTTTCTCTCAAACTATCCTGAGTTGTCTCTTGTTCCTCCTGTCTCCAATCTCTTCTCTTTTGAGCGGGTGGGGAGAAGAGCAAGTGATTCATTCACATAGGAAATTTCCTTTGCTCTAGCTTCCCCACCCCCCAAGAGAAATTGGAGAGGGACTTCAAGTATCCCTTTTTCATTTGTTCTTCTACACATCAAAAGCATGTTGTGTTAGAAGCTGGCTGTGAAGCTCACAAATGATGATCATGTGGCTGCAGGATGTTACCATTGTTCTAAATAGTTGATATTGTGATCACGTAACCAAGGGGATGTTGACACTTATAACCTTGAGGACCTGTTCTGAGTCATCTTTTTCAGTGCTGTCATAACTTCAACAGTTGTCGAACAAGTGGTTGATAAGCAAGGATGACCTGTATATGTTAATGACATCTAGTTAGCTGTCACTTCTGACCATTATTTGTGGTCTTAATTTCTGTGGCCTTGTAAGTTTTTTTGTTAGCTTCCCCACAGTTTACATTTATGTTCTTGTACAAAGCTATTATGTCCTCCTCTGAACTTTTTCTCATTTATTCATATCCTCCTGGAAATGGAATCATCAGTGCTAAGTAGAAAGGCTTCGAAGTTTTTTCTAATGCAACACAGAGCCATATTAGCAATTGTCTCGCTGTTGATTCATATTCAGTTGTTGTAAATTACTATACCCAAGCTCTTCTCAAATGTAGTGTTCCCAAGCCATAAATTCCCCACCTTATATCTTACACCCTGCATTTTTTCTCCTAAACTAAATACTTGGTTACTGCTCTCCAACAACATAAGTGCAATATGCCAGCCATTTGAGATTCTTTTCTATAGCACTATCCAAATATCAAGAGTTGACAATTAAAATGTCGCATGGAACCTTGTCAAAAACTTCACTGAAATTAAGCTTCTCTCCTTCATCCACATCTTACATTGTTTGTATGTTTTGCCTTTTTTTCATAGCCACTTTAAGAGGCAAGAGTGATTAAAAGAGTGAAAACAGGAAGGCTTATCATATGTATAGTTATAAAGACTCCATAGTTCCCCGTTTGCTTTTTAATAACAGTTTATCCAGTTGGTGGGTCAATATAATGGTTGGTTTTTGAGATGGCTCACTTCTGGAATTAATTTCTTGTTATCCTAACTATGTGAATTATTCCTATGCTTGACAGGGCATGGACAGTGGCTTTGCAGGAGGAGAAGATGAAATTTATAATGTCTACGATCAGCCCTGGAGAAGTGGTAAAGACATGGCCCAAAATATATACAGACCAAGTAAAAATGTGGATAAGGACATGTATGGTGATGATTTGGAAACAAGAATAAAAAGTACTAACAGGTAGGGAAATTAATGTGATTCTCAGTGATTGGATTTTTACAAGAAATATATTACATTTTCTGCTTTCTTGCCTCTTCCAGGTTTGTTCCTGATAAGGAATTTTCTGGCTCAGATCGTAGACAAAGAGGAAGAGAAGGACCAGTTCAATTTGAGGAAGATCCTTTTGGTCTAGACAAATTTTTGGAGGAGGCAAAACAGCACGGGGGCTCTAAAAGACCTTCTGATAGCAACCGCCCTAAAGAACATGATCATGAAGGCAAAAAAAGGAGGAAAGAGTAAAAAACTGATTTCTCTCTGGCTGCTGAGACTGGATTCAGGGCTTTAACAAGCTCTGTACTGAAAATAATGTACCATGAGTGTTCAAAGGCAACATTTCCCTATGGAATAGAGGAGAAAAGAAAAAGCAGATTGCTGAATAACATAGGTTCTGTATCTTGGTTTCTAAGTATGTTCATCTTTTGTTTCAACAGACAAGGAATGATGTATTCTTTACTTTAAAATGTTATTCCAGGAATATTCTCTTGTATATAATTTTCTCTATTTCTGCTATGTATTGTACTTGAAATAAGGGAAGAGTACTAACTGATTTGCTCTGATGTAACTATCCAGTTCCATTTAATCTGAAAGGAGCAATTGCACTCAATTAACTAAGATGAATATATACATACCGAAGTTTATTTTAATTTCTTTACATAGCAATTAAATAAAGGCTCCTTCCTTTTAATTGGTATTAGCAAATATTTCATCTTGTTTTTTCTTGACGTTTAACTTCAAGCTGAAAGATAAGACAAAAAAACAATACCCATTTTCAATTTTTTAACCAAAAAATCTGGGCCATGTATAATATTTCCAATATAGTCTGCATTATCTATGCAGATTACTACTGTATACCTTTCAGACATCGATCTACATTGAACCCTTACTGCAGTGTACTTTTAGAAAGGCGTGTGATAAGGAACATTTATCTTGTCCCATGCACAGAAGAAATGCCATAGCTGAATTTATAAGACCTATTCTGGATAGATTATCCCAACATTTGGAGCTTCTTTGTTGTAAATTTTTAGCAAGACAGATTTTGGATTGTCTTGCAGAACAAGTAAAGGAAGGCAGCTACATTCTGTGCCCTTTCTCCTTTTTCATACCTACATGTTCTTTCCTCTGATCATTGAAGCACCAGTCTCTTCCTCTTCTTTGATTGCGGCAACAACTTTACATGAATTCAAGCATTACAATGTCTATACTCCAGCCAGCATGTCACTTCTTTCTACCAAATTGTCCCAGTGTCTTATTTCTGTTTGCTGTTGCCTTGTATCATTGGATTTTCCTTTTCTTTGCTGTCTCCCATCTCAGAATGTACATTTTGATTCTAGCATGTACAGTCCATGCACGAAATGCTTTGCATATCCTGCTTTTAACTGTTACTTAATTGTAGAAACTGGTTTTTTTAAAATATGTATAAGTAACAGAATAAAGAAGCTTTCTTTGAAATAAACGGAGGCATTTGATATATCTTAAAAGAATTGAAATTACCTGTGACCCTTCAAACATATGATCTTTCAACAAAGCATTATTGCGACTTTCTTCTGTAGCAAATCCAATCCAGCCAAAACCTTTATGGAACCCTGTTTCTGAATTCTGAATATGAAAGAGAATACATTAGTTCATCCACATATCTGAATAAATTTCCTCTTTACATTTGGAAACTATTCATGGTTAGTTACTGCTGAGAGTTTGTTTTCAAACTGCTGAACACACAAATTATGTTATCTGTTAGGTAAACTAGAAACCATTTCCCAATATGTAACAAATTTGATAGAAACTGTCTTATGGAACAATAGTTTTAGAGAGAATGGTGTTTTATTTTTTTTTTGTACTTATTGGATACAAAATACTAAAGTACATTGTATGCATTTTTCTGAAAGTAACTCCCAATTCAATTCAGCGTACTTTTAAATAGTTGTGTGTATGATCACACTATGTTAATAATAAAAGATTTTAAAATATTAGTTAGGCAATAAGGTGTATTTGATTGTTTACTCAAATTTATATATACTGGTGTATGTGCTGTTCCACTTCCTGACCTTTTACATGGGTTACAGTAATATAACTCTTAATCTTTCTTTTTAATGTTAAACATGCAAAATTTTCAGCAAAATACCTGAAATTATATACCAAGTCCAATTAATTCTGGGGGAATTTAGAACAAAAGTGCACTTATCCTATTAAATCAGTGGAAGTCAAATTATTCAAGGATGACTAAATCATATCTACAATCAGCTAAGAAAGGCAGACAAGCCACCATTTTCTTTTAAAGCAGCAATGAATAAGAGTGTTCAATTTCACATGCATTGTGCATATGAAGCAAATAGTACTACAAAAAGCATTAGTATGCCAAAGTTCTGAAAGCGAAAGCAAAGATGTCAGCTTTACAACAGCTATGTATATCATAAATGAATATGCTTTATTTTGTACAATGAAACAAGATTCTGTATAAAATATTTTCACGCATTTCTAATTCCAGAACACCTTAGTTATAATAAAAGCATTTCCAGTAAAAATAAGATACCGTAAAACCTTAAGATTGCATTCTTGATAGTGAACAGTTTTTATTGGCTGGTAAGAGGAGAAATTATCTTTGAATTATTCCAAATATGATCATGGAAGAAGAAAAAATTATTTTTATATGATAAGCTTGTCCTGGATCTCATACCTTACACTTATGTTTAAAACCTGAATAGAATTGAAGTCATCCATGGCAAGGGATAATCACTTTCACTACACAAAGCTTCCTGTGTTTATAAAAAATAACTTTTCTTCCCAGATAAAAAATGTTTACTAGGAAAATAGGGAAGTTAATAATTTAGCCTCATCAATTTGCTGCCCTACAAGTATGTTGAACTAAAAAGGTAAAAGTAAATGTTACCCCTGTCCAGTTGTGTCCAACACTTAAGGGGTGGTTCTCAGTTGAGGTAGCCAGCATTGTCCAAAGATATTTCTCTGGCCAAGGCTCACGGAACACATACCTTCCCACCAAAGTGGTACCTATTTATCTACTTGCATTAGCCTCATCAATTTGGTGCCCAACAGTGGTGGTATTCAACTGGTTCTGGAGAGTCGGTAGGAGCAATGAGCAGCGGAGACCAAACCAGTTCCCTCCGCTGCTCTAATGGCTCTGCTGTTGGGCCCACCTGCCTGCCTGAGCTCCCATGCTCACCTTTATCCGCTGAATTTGAAGTGCAGCTGCTTTGCACAGCGTAGAATAATGCTGCACGGCAGCTGCTGAAGCGATTGGGAGATTGTGCAGGCTCTGCGCCTGCGCAAAGTGCACATTTGGCACACGCATGCATGTAAAGTGTGCACGCGTGCAAAGTGCGCCCACCAAACCACGCCCACCAAACCAGTGGCAACAATATTTGAATCCCACCACTGCCCCACAAGTATGTTAAACTATAGTCCTCATCCGTTCAGTGACCAAAAAATAAAGCCTAAAAGAAACTATGCAGGCTTAGTATTATGGAAAGTACATAGTGATGAAAAATTTGTGAATCCTTATCCATAAGCTTGAAGTATTATGTCTACAATGTTGTCAGTGCTTGAATAAGAATTATTCAGATAGGAAATTCTGGTAAAATGAACAACACAAATGCTGCAACGTGTCCACTGAACAAACAGCCAATACTTTCACTGATTGTTGGGAAATTTAATTAGAATAATGAGCTCTTTTAAGAAGTCAGATAAAATTGAGCTAGAAGGATCCTCTCCATAAAAGAAATTACTACCCCAAAAGCACATTGACAAACTAGACAGGAGCAGTCTGAATGTAGACATCTAGTAGGTAATTAAAACATTTTATAGACAAGTGAGATTAAGGTGGAATTTGCTGCCTCAGATGTGGACAGTTTGCAATTGCTAACATATCCAAATATATAAATGAGCTGAAGAAGTTCTATAAAAAAGAATGGTCAAAATATCTCCAAACTACTGAGCAGCACTGATCAATAGATATCTCAAAAATGGTTGTAGTCACTGATACTAAAGGAGATACCACCAGTTACAAAATCTAAAATTTCACATACTTTTCCCGTTAAATAATGTGAATGTGGGTTTTATTATATATACAATAAACACGTTAGACTGCTTAATGACCTCATTCCACAGATGACGTTTGCATCACATTGTAGATCACAGTACTGCAAGATTAAGTTTTAAAGAATTCCCAAACTTTTAATTACTTACATTAAAATAAGCTAGAGCAGTTGTCTTAAACTTTTTTCTTTCAGGATCCTTTCTAATTTTTAATAATTATGGAGGACTCCAAAAAGTTTGTATGGATTACATTTATCGATATTTACCATATTAAAAAAAATTAAGTTGACAAAATTAAAAAAATTAAGTTGGCTTTCTACCACTGCACTATAGAGAGTATTTTAACTTACTGCACCTGTGTATAGTTTGCTAATTGCACAGTGGCAGATAGGACAGTGCTCCAGAGGGTTAATATCATTACCCAGAGGATCATTGGTTGCCCTCTCCCTTCCTTGGAAGAGCTTTATAGCTTCCGCTGTCTTAAGAAAGTTCAAAACATTCTTAAAGATCCATCTCATCCTGGGCACCCTTTTTTTTTAATTACCATCTGGCAGATGTACAGGACAATAAAAACAAAGACAAACAGGCTGAAAAACAGTTTCTATCCCAGAGCAGTAACTATACTGAATTCTACTGTATAGTGTAATACTAATATAGTATCAGGTTTTCAATTCAATTGTATAGAACATGAAGGATGTTTTTGTTTTATTTTTATAGTTTTCTTATGTATGATGTCCACTGAAGATGGCATTTAATTTTGTTCTGCGAGGGGCAATGACAATAAAGTAAACACTGCTGTTACCTCTTCTCACAGTTATTTGATGGGATTTTAATACTGGATTATTTTTCAACATAAATTTGCAAACAGTTTTGATTTTAAGAACCTGAGAGGTACTTTAAAAAACACTGCCCGAAAAGACAACATGTTAGAGAAATCTGCCAGAAAACCTTTATAAATATCATGCCTATCTACTTACCTATTTATTTACCAATAATACCATTGGTCAAACATAATTTGAATATTTTTACATTGAATAAATCATTTAATGTCCATGATACTTACAAATGGCAGGATGCATTTCTTCACAGGTCCAAACTGAGTAAAATATTCTCGTAGTTCACCTTTTAAAAAATGGCAGGAGATATCGATGTAATAAATTTCAGGCAGTCAGGAGCAAACTAATTTCTAATAGCCATTTTCTCAATTGATGGGTGAGCTATTGTGGGCTTAGAAAATGACCTCCAGAGCAGGGCTGGTCACCCTAAATTTCTCACACCCCCTTGGGATGATAATATAATACGCATTTGACTGGAAATGGGTGACTAAATTTAATTGATGCTGCTCAGAATGCTAGGCTTTAAATTTCAAAAAGTTTTACAATGCAGAGATGGCAATGAGTTTTTGGGGAAATTACATCCTCGCAATTGTTCAAAACTACCGCAGCATTCACAAAATTATACATTTGATTAATTTTTAATCTAATAACTCTCTGATCAATGTTATAAAAAAGTTAAAATTACAGCTTGTAATTCAAATGAAACACAGATTAAACAGATAATCTCTGAATGAGACAGGTTTACTTTGTTCCTCTATCCATACAACAATGCATGAAGACCAAAAATATTATTTTTTTAAAAGCAAGCGTAACACAGAAGAAAAAATACAGATTCAAATTCAAATGAATGATGAAACCCATTGACTGAGACCACACAATTTACTAATAAAATGAAACCCAATCTTCTGGGTTCATACAAAACAGTGAACTATCACTATGCACACTTGTTGTCTACAAATAACATTCTAGATAAATCTAGGTTCCAATCTTTATATCATGTCCATTTATTCCAGAATTAGTGTACATAAAACCAAAGTTAGCACACTACCCATGGCTAAATGGTCTAAACATTTTCTTCTACCTTGCAATCTGTACAGGAAACTACACAATACTGGCAACAACTCTTTTGTTTTAAGCAATTCATAACATAACATGATGTATATAATAACAGGGGTTGGAAGGGACCTTGGAGGTCTTCTACTCCAGCCCCCTCCTCAAGCAGGAGAACCTATATCATTTCTGACAAGTGGCTATCCAGTGTCTTCTTAAAAACCTTCAGTGTTGGAGCACCCACAACTTCTGTAGGCAAGTCATTCCACTGGTTAATCGTTATTATTATCATTATTGATTTAACCTTCAATTCGATTCACAGTCTGGGACTGGTAAACACTTAACAGTTCAATAACCAAGGACCTAAGAGCTGTTAAGATAACGACTGAGTATATAGGCAGTTCCAAGTAAGTGATTGTTAATATTAATAAACGTAAGTATAATAAACATACTAAACATAAAACAATAATTACAATATTTCCGCTATATAGCGGAATACACGGCCAGACTGAAAGCTTTCACGCGGGCTCCAAAGCTTCATCCTCCCCTGACCGGCGCCATCTAGTTGTCACCTCGATAAGAACACAAATGTATCGCAGTCAAAACCCGGGACATCTCCTCAAACCAAGAGGAATCGGCAAGAAAGACGTCAGCTGGGATAGAAAGGTGGGGAGGGGGATCCGCTTCGGCCTCTTCACAGGAAATAAGGTGGATCCCGTGCCCAGTAAGAGAGCTGTCTCCGGGATCTACCCCTCTACCCTTTGGCGAAACAAAAGCTTCAGTCCCTCAAACGGCAAGCGAAAGGAAATCCTTAACACCCCGTTAACTGTCATCAGAAAATGCATCTTCTCCCACTCACTTTCCTCCACGTTCCAGGGTATTCGCCTAACGAAGACCTCGAAGACACGCCGAGAAACCCCCCTCGCTGCCATCTTAAAATGAGGGGACAACGACCTTGCCCGGCCGAGGCAGTTTCCAGCCAATGGGAGGCTGGCTTCCGCTGCCTCGGCGGAGAACGTGCAAAGAGTCACGCCTTGAGCTAAGATGGCGGCGGCCACGCGGGAAGAAGATGCGTTCCGTCGCCTCTTTCGTTTCTATCGGCGATGGGAGGGGTCGGATCCTACCGGGGTGATTGACTTCTCCAAGCCAGCGAGCCGGCAGGTAAGCCGAAGGGAACCCTCCACCCCTTCGCCCTGCCGAGCGGATCCTACCGGTCTCTGCTGCCAGGAAGACGCCTGGAAGGTCTTCCTTTTGAGAGACCCTCCCCTTTTCCGTTGCACGTGCTGCACGTTTTTCCTCATTCGGCGCCTTAACTTCCCGGCGCGTGTATTGGCGCAAAGGCTTAGCTGTAACTATCTGGGGAAGGTCTTCATTTGACAATGAAACATCATGGCGGGAAAAGACTTGCTTGGCCAATTCTGACCAGCCGATACCTCCTGGTCTCAGTTTCTAAAGGTCTCTCCCTCCCCCACCCCCCAATCTTGGTGCAGTATTAAGCAAAGTCTTGGCCGTATTTGAACCTGCTAAATCGCAAACCATTGTTTAGTGGCAGCCTTGAGGATAAAAATCATGTTATAGTTAACATAAACGATGTTTAAAAGTATCCCGGTAGGATAACGTTTGCCTGTTATGTCGCTGGTTCAAAACTCGGCTTTTTTTAAAAAAAAAAATAGTATGGTGCAAAGGTTAAGAGGAGTAGGAAGACCAGATTTTAATCGATCCTCAACTACAGAAACTTGGGGATTTGGAGCCGGTTGCTGCCTGTCAGTCCAACCTATCATTGTTCTGTGAAGTTTCAAGTGAAACTTGGAAATCTAAGTGAAAGTGAAAATCCTCTTGAGTAACATTGGATGAAATAACAAAATGATCACCTTGTATTCAAGAACTGCTGGGATCTTAGCCTTCTGGTGGACAGTATAAACTGATTGTTACCCTGATCAATCAAATCTTAAATAAATGTACGCTCTATAGATAATTTTATCCTTGTGCTATTATATTTTTGGTCTGAAGAGAGATTACTGCATTGTAAACATTGGCTTATGTACTATGCTTGTACCATAATGTTGTGCATGGAAAATGTGCTTCCTTTTATGACCTTTGACTTCTAATGACAGATGATGAAAGATCAGTAATCAATTCTAAAAAAAATATGGAGGATAACATAGAAACTACCATGCCAAATGAGAATTTTTTTTAATTTTTTTTTGCCCTTCTACAGGTTCTTATTTTTAAAAAAATAAGTTTGGATTATCGGAAATAATCCTGCATATTTCTTTTTGTATCCTGATCCCATTATCTTCTCAAGATAGATAGAATTTCTCTGCTGAAAAATGATTTATGTACCTGATATTTGCAATCTGATAAGGATTAAGTCCTATCTTCAATAACAAAAGATCCCTTTTAATTTAACTAACAACATATTTAAAATTTCTACTGTATTGTTTTTTGACTTGTTCTTGGACAGGTGACTCAGTTAATAAAGTTAATAAAGCAATAAATGCAGTATAAGTACGCTCTCCCAAGCGACTTTCTGAAATATATAAAGTAAGCTGTTTGGGTTATAGGATTACCTACTTATTCTCTAGCATAATTTGTAATTAAAATTAAAATCTGTTGGATGTTTATCCATTATCCCACTTAGAGTGGGATTCTGGCCTGTCACAAGAATCTGGATGGATATCTTTCGGGTATCTGATATTCAAGGATTTTTTTTAACTAGGTGGTCACCTATCCTCTGAAGTTAACCTCAGTAAGTGATCAAGATGCCTACAGGGCAGGACTACATCCAGTTACCCAATGGAAAGCTTACAGTCTAGATAATTATCCAGGTGAGCATATTTTGGATATCTCAGCATACATAAAATCTAAACTTAGTCAGTAGAACAACTGATAATATATGCAACATTTTTGGAAAAGACATTTTTGGAAAAGACATACTTGTGTTTCTGTTTTCTTAAGTGTTCATAATTTAAGTGTCCAGGAAAGGCCACATCTACATTTTTTCTTTTTCACCCATTTTTATTTTTATCTAGGATTCATATATATTAATAATCCCTTTCTTCCGGGCTCTCAGTGCCATTGGGTGAAGCAGTGTCTAAAAAAATATATCCAGAAACCTAATGTGTGCAATTTGGACATGCATATGTCTTCTGAAGAAATTACTGATATCTGGGGAAAGAGTAAATTTCAGCTTCGGTAAGTCATGTCTCTGGGTTATCTCATAACAAACTTGGTAAAACAACACAATAGCCATTATGCTGTAGGTCAGGGGTGTCAAATTGATGGCCCGCGCACCAGATGCATCACGTGCAGGCCACACCCATCCCAGTAAAGGCAAAATGTATCATGATACGTCATATGACATGATTGAGTTTTGACACCTGTTGTAGGTTCTTGATTCCTTTCTTGTAAGCTGTGACTACTTTTAATCCCTATGAGTCAGTTGCTAAAAACCAATGTCATATGTGTTCAATCCTCTTTTGCTGAGGATTGAAAGAAGCTCACTTGGTGTCTTCAGATTTTTGTCAATCCAAAAGTTCTTAATAACTAAAAAGCACTTAATGAGCAATTTATGAAAGTGATTAGAAAAGGAAGTCTGCAAACCCAACATTCTTAAAAGTGGCCAATGTGGTTTGAGGAAGAAGGCTATTATTCCTTTGTCTCAGAGCTATAAATCCCCACTGTCTTTCAGTCTCAACACAAGTAGCAAATGTCTGGAGCATTTGGGGTCAATTTCAAGTCCTTTCCTTATCCAGAAAGGAATTATCAAGAAGCCAATCTCTTCACTGGCTCTTCATTCTGTACAGTTATTGGCTTCACTTTCAACAGAGTTTTCCTTCTCCAGAAGTTATAAACTGCATATTTTGGTGTTACCAAGTTCTATGGACCTATTACATCTTACGGAAGAGAAGCCTTTTTAAGAAGCCCATTGTGCAGGCTATGGAATGGAGAAGGCTATCTATCTGACATTTATATGTCCTTGCTTAGTTATCACAATTGGGATTGGCAACTGCCTTGCTAAGCAGAAAATTGTGGGACAATTACAGACCTACAACCCATTATTTCACATTCAGTTGTTAAGCAAATCACCATGATTGTTGAATGAGACATCATATGACAGTGACTTACAATTTCTACTTCTCCATGAACTCTGCTGATTGTAAACTTATTGTGCAGCACACAAATGATGATCAGGTGATTGCAGGATGCTGCAACAGTTGTAAATTGAAGATTGGTCACAAAGCTTTTTATTTATTTATTTATTTATTTGATTTGCCAATTGTTTACAAGATAATAAGTATAAGTGTATACATAGTTGTGAATACATGAAATGGGTACATATAAGAAAAATAAAAGAAGAATAAGAGAAACAATAGGACAGGGACGGTAGGCACATTGGTGCGCTTATGCACGCCCCTTACAGACCTCTTAGGAAAGGGGTGAGGTCAATAGTAGACAGTCTAAGGTTAAAGTTTTTGGGGTTTGGGGAAGAAACTACAGAGTCGGGTAGAGTATTCCAGACATTGACCACTCTATTGCTGAAGTCGTATTTCCTGCAATCAAGTTTGGTGCGGTTAACTTTGAGTTTGTATCTATTGTGTGCTCTTGTGTTGTTATGGTTGAAGCTGAAGTATTCATTGACAGGTAGGACATTGCAATGTATGATTTTATATACCATGCTTAAATCAGACCGAAGACGGCGTAATTCAAGGTTTTCTAGTTCTAGAATTTCAAATCTGGTGGCATAAGGTATTCTACAACGAGTAGAGGAGTGGAGAACTCTTCTTGTGAAATATTTCTGGACTTTCTCAATTGGGCTAATATCAGTAATATTTTACCCCATAGTAACTTAGAATGGCCATTAAATGAGGATTTAGTAAGCAAGGACTATCTGCATGATTGCCCATCTAAAGGCACAAATGCATCTACTGTTTTTTCTTCCTCCTATTTTTATATTGAATTTCTTTTAAATATTTTTAATATTGAAAAGTTGCACCTAGAAGTGTATGGGGAGACAGTCTGGTTCATAATGTAGAGATATTGTATGGGCATAATAAGAAACACCCTTAATTACCTGAGCCACTGCATTCTGAAGCAAGTTTCCTGACAGTGTTCAAGGGTAGCTTCATGTACAGTGTATTCCAAAATCCAATTGGGAGGTAACAAAATCATGAATAATCATGAGTAGATCCTTCTGATCCAGCAACAATTGCACACTTACAGAAGGCAAAGTTTGCTCCCCAGCAAATCTTGGCAGTCAGAGGGCAGATTCCACCAGGAATTTCGTGCCGCACACTCATCAGTCACCAGGAGTCCTGGATAAATCATTAGTTCCAGTCAACAAGGGTGGTGAGGTCAGTCTAGTCCTAGACCCTTGCTTTGTGGCGTACTTCAGAACTTTACATTCTCTCATTTTCAAAATCTACATGAATCCACTGGAAGAGGTTATCCACTGGATCAGAGAGCATCAACATCAGTATGCTGATATACTCATTTCTGTATCTCTGCCCCATCCATCCAAGTGAAATTGTCATGGCTCTGCCTAAATCTCTGGAGACTGTAAAAGTTTAGGCTGGGAAGAACATGCGTCAGCTGAATCCTATCCACAATAATCTGTGTCGTTGTTTCTAAACTATCTTCTTCCACCTCAGTGAATATTTTTTGCACGTGCACCGGATTTCTAAAAATGCAGTATAGATCACATTTCATTATTCAGATTACTACAGGTAGCCTTCAACTTACAACAGTTCATTTAGTGATCGTTCAAAGTTACATCATCACTGAAAAAAGTGACTTTTTTCACACTTACGACCATTGCAGCATCCCCATAGATACCTGATCAAAATTCAAACACTTGGCAACTTTGTTGTTAGTTGTTGTTTGTTGTGTCGTGTCCAACCCATCGCGACCCCATGGACAACGTTTCTCCAGGTCTTCCTGTCCTCTACCATCTTTTGGAGTCCACTCATTTGGTTGCAGGTTTGTAGGGTCATGTAAATCTTCTGACAAGCAAAGACAATGGGGAATCCAG